TTATTGTCCCCACTGCTGGGTCACAGGCCTTCCCTATGGATGGAATAGGGAGATTGGGCCATGACCCACCACGCGGGCCAAGTAAGGATTGGCGGGTGCTACCGACTGTCATTTGTTACAGTATAAATGTTCCTGCATAGCGACGACGACTCTGTATATAACAATACAGGGAGAAAAAACAGCCCTTGCTGAGTTTCTTGCCGGTTCTTCTCAGAACAAGGTCTCCCACCGTAGTTTTGAGAACCGATGGCGTAGCTTCTTGACTTTCACAAAGTGCTTGTAACACCCAAGACTGAATAAATGACTTTTCAAATAAAACTAGTTTCGTAGCCTTTATAGGCTACGAAACGTCAATAAATAAATAAAGTTTCGTGCATTAACCCGTAAAAACTAGTTTTATTTAATGAGTGATGTGCGTGAAAACCTAAGAAACAAATGACTTTTCATTGAAATGAAATGAAATTATACTTTATTGAATCGTCCAATATTATATCGTGCCGCTTTTCAGGACAGCTTTTAGCTGACGAGAAGAATCTCGTTAGCATCTAACAGAAGTAGCAACATTTACATAAAATCATTACGCTACCAATTATAATAAACTAGCGGCCCGCCCTCGCTTCGCTTCGGTGTAGAGCTGAAGTGTAGACTACAGTTTTTGTTCTCAGGCTTGCATTATACACAATGACATTCATCTATGATTCTTCTTATACCTGCATGCAAATTCTCAGCCCGATCGGTTTAAAATTGACGAAGTTTCATACAAATTTTCATTCCCTATTTTATCCCCTTGGGGGTAGAATTGATCAAAATCCTTTCTTAGCGGATGCCTACGTTATAACATCTACCTGCATGCCAAATTTCAGCCCGATCCGTCCAGTGGTTTGGGCTGTGCGTTGATAGATCACTATGTCAGTCAGTCAGTCACCTTTGAGTTTTATATATATATAGATAGATTTAGTAATAAACTGTAGTCCTTTTTTTCAAATTTATTTAGCTTTTGTGGGATCGCAAAAGTTAGGTTAAAGCTAGATAGTAATTTAGCACCTGATGTTGTATTGTCTGACAAATTTTTCATTAAATAGGTTAACTTATAAAAACAGTACTTAAAAAAAATATGAATTAAACATTGTTTATATATATTTAACATATTATCTGGTATGTAAAATATTATAAACACTGTTTAATATCTATATGTTTTATATCTCTTTTATGCACACATCAAAGACTGCAAATTTATTCAGTGTATATTTCCGCTATGACATTTGTAATTTATTCTAAGGTTTTTTTCCTTTAGTTACTAATAAATTAAACTGGTTATTACTAAGAAAATAAATTTTATCATAAAACAGATTAAAAATCGGCCAAAAATAAAAAAAAGTTCATGTGGCTTCTTAGGCGCGTATTATACAAAGATTCTCAGTGATTGATCTAGTCTTGAGCATAGTTAGAAAGGGATGTCGCTATATATAGCACATAGCGACATCCCTTTCTATCTGTACTCAAGTAAAGATCAACACTTAGCTGTCATTCTGTAATACGAGCCTTAGACTCTTTTGATGAGTAATATATATCAATCGATTCCATATAAGTACGATAGTTCACATGTGAAATATTGAAGTGGCAACGAGGAGCTGCTTACGTTCACTTACGGTTTATTAAAATTTAATTACTATTGATTTATTAACGTACGCTTCTCAAGTGCTTTCGTATACCCGCTTGTTGCAAATACACAGAAGTTTAATTTCCCTGTTATGAATGATAAAATCAAAATAAGGCTTAACTATACTATTATTAGGTGCTCGATGGCGTTCGGCTACGATCGTTGAAGTTAAGCAACTTTCGCAGTAGACAGTCATTGGATAGGTGACCAAAAATTTACTATCTCGAGCTCCTCCGTGCTTCGGAAGGCACTTAGACGTTGGTCTCGGCTGCATCTGCAGTCGCACTCCGCACTGGGCCCGCGTGGTGGTTCATGGCCCAAACTCCCTATTCCATCCATAGGGCAGGCCTGTGCCCCAACAGTGGGGACATTAATAGGCTGATGATGATGATGAAGATGATACTAATATTACAAAGAGGAAAGATTTCATAAATATTATTATTATTATACTTAAACTAGCAGACATTGTAGCAGATACATCCAGCAGCTGGATCATCACAAAACATATTTCTGGCAACAATTCTGAGTTTTTTTTTAATTAAAAGTAAACAAAATAATAAATTTGTTTTCATGAGAGCTCCAAACGCTATGTTGAAGTATCGGCAAGATTAAATTAGAGAAAAAAGACGAAATAAGCGATTGTTCAAGTGAAAACTTATGCTCTTGTCTTTGTAACTTATTTCTGGCCGCGGTTTTTGGTTTTCTTCATTATTTAAAAGTAAAGGAAATCATTTAAAATATTTTGACGAGGGTCATATAGCGCTTTTTGCATGTTTTCACTTGTAACATTTCAAATAATGGAGTACATACAATAATTATTATCCCACAAAAACACATTTTCATGGAAAATGTTGCAAAGACGAGACTATTTATGACTCGCACTGTCAAAAAGTTATCAGATATTATGTAGAGCTAAGCTTCCAACTCTACACGCCTTACTCTACAAGGCCTAACTTCACAAACTCGACACCTTAGTCAAAATATGTGGCTTGGCCATTTCGCTACATTTTCATGGGCGTATAGTGAAAAATGTATCCACTGTTCATTGCTTTTCTGTTAGAAAATAGTTCTTGTAGTGATGAAACGACAATTCACATATTTAATATTTAGTCCCAAATAAGGCAGAGCTTATACTGTTTAAACTAAATAACATAAAGAATGCAACAGGTAAATATTTAAACATCCTTCAGTTGAATAAAATGCTCCTTTACTTGCATTCGACCACCTTTAGAGCAGATGCGCCGCAATGAACCAAACGGTCATTGTAAATAGTTGGCATTTGGGATAGAAATATATGTAAAATTATGAAGGAATCATTCAAACAAATTATAACTTTTAAAGATCTGCAAAGAGATTGAAAATATTATATTATTGATTATAAGTGGTATAAAACCATCCCACAAGAGCAAGGTAGGTTTTTGTAGAAAAAGGTAACACTCGTCTACCTACCCATAAGAAACTCTCTTACTCTAGATTATTGTATACGCAGGAGGAGTTAACTATTCAACGTCATTTATTATATTGAATTTGCAAGAGCATTTGATTCAGTGAAATGGTCGATACTTTTTCAATAGACACGATAATACTTAAGCGATTCGTCCACCTTTTGAGATGTGTTTTTGAATATAGGACTGTATTGATGTGAATGTATAACGTTTCATATGAAAATTGTCGTCCTAGCATTGGGGTCCCTCAGGGATACATAATATTACCGCCCTTGTTTAAAGCTTACATCGAATTCAGAATGCTAATCAGTCTTGAGGATTTATGTAAGGGTGCTTTCGTTGATGGTTGTTAAATTACTAATTTATTACATCACGCTTTGGTTGACATTTAGTGCTTACCTTTTTAAGATGGATAGGTACTCATAAAGAAGGCAGATACTCTTAATAATAAGAGAGCCAGATATTTAGACTAAGGTGGAGAGTTTATGTACATCGAGCGTGTAGAGTTAGAAGCCTGTCTCTACATGAGATCTGATAACTTTGTGCCAGTACGAGACATACCTATGGTGCCGATCTTGGCAACATTTTACATCATGCAGCAGTGAGTCATACAAGATAATATTGACGCATCATTTACAAACAAAGTATCATTTTTTTTATTCGTTTTTTAACATTCATAGTAAAACATTCATTGCAAAATTAGAGATCGACTAATCTACCAAAAGTCACCTTATTTTTGTTATGATCAACCTATTCTAATTGTTTAAATAACCATCGAAATTTGATAAATAGAGATGAACTAAACCTTATTCTTCGTTTATAAAATGAAAATCTGGAGATGGTCTAACACTATATTTCTAACCACATCATAGGCTTAATTCAAATCAAATTTCAATATATTTAAGCAAAAAATAGCTACTTTCAGAACAGGAAGTAAATATAGTAAATACGTTTATTATTTCTTTTAGTTAGTTTCTTTCTTTAATGTTTAAAAGAGCTTTTTTTTTAAATATTAGCTGTTTTTTTAGACCCACTGCTATATATGGATATGCAGAGCAGGAGACCCACATGTTTGTTTTATTTAGACCCACTTACACCAAAATTCTAAATTCAAATTAAGATTTAATCGTATTTAACACACCATTACCTACATCTTTATCAAATGTTTAGTCAAATAGAGAAAAGAACGAGGCTTAAATAAAATTGTTTTTTTTTTTTAATTGGATTGTAGTGCAAGTGAGCCTAATCTGTGTTTGTTGTAATTGCAATAAATCTGCAATTTTGAACGATTAAAGCTTTTATTTTTTGATAATAACTCGTTTAGTTAATTACTTTGTACTGTCTACTGTAATTCATATTATTACATTTGTACGTTTGCGGGAAAATTACGTTTGAAAAGGGCAATTCTTAAAACTTACTAACTTTTTTTTATTCTTATAAGCGTCTTATAAGATTTGATTTTGTAATCAATTCTTCTTCGAAATTCCTACCCTAATAGGAACTGCATGTTTTCCTTTGATTTCATATGGTTATGTGCTTAACTTTTTTTTTATTATCATTCATAAAATTTTAACGTGGAGGAAACTTAATTTTGAAAAATCTTAAGGCCATATCTGAAGTGGGTTTCATGTAGATATTGGTGTCGAATCTGGCATGTTTCCCTAAACTTAGAATAAAATTTGACAACAGTGTATCCTTTACGTTCTCTATACACAATGAAAAGAAGAGACTGGTGTTAAATTGAAGTTTTAAGTTTAGAGAATCATGCCAGAATCGACACCTTTGGTTATTTATTTCTTAGAAATACTTATTCATAATCGTTGATTTTAGAGGAGAACCTAAAGGCTTAATCACTTATGATAGGTGAGAATAGATAACTTAGCTCTATTACTTACGGTTTCACTCGTTATCAAGCGCGGCAACAAAGCATGTCACTTAATCACAATCGATATTCAAACACAGAAGTCACACAAAACAGGTATTCAATATCCAATTCACTTTGAATCTCACTTTTCAAACTTCGCAAATCGAGTCAACGAACGAAATTTTTCAAATTGGAACACCGAATTCGAATCGATTTGAAAATGTGTCAATCGAGAAAGAAAAAGTGGGAGGCGCAATCGAAAATTGTTATTGCTCGCAATTAGGAGGAATGGGACGGAAAGATGATTGCACGACGGCAATTAGGCGATCCAAGCATTACGATTGAGCGATCTTCAGGCACGTGGCGTACATTTTCCGAGTTTTGAATATGGAATTAACACTATCGAACTGTTGGGGAGTCTTTTTTAGCTTTCGTCACGTCACCGATGTCATTTTCGCGGTAACACAAGCGCGGTCGTGCCACAAACACCCGAAACGGAAATCACACACGATCGCTGCTCAGTTGCCGAGTACACCCGAATAACAGTGATCGAGAATCTAAAAAATCAAACCGTCACTGTTCACATAGAAAAAAATTACCGACGACAAAACGCACACAAGCACAAAACCTCTGTCCAATTAACGTTTAATGTTTGTGGATATTTTAATAAGGTTTCCCCTCCGCAGAAATCCGACACAACCAACTCTCGGAGACTTTAAACACTTAATGACCGGTTGGGGGAAATTGTCCGAGAAACGAACGGCCCAGCCGTACTGCCGTCCTTTTCTAAATAGTTCGGTTGCGCGCCGCTTCTATGGCGCGTTAGGCGCTAGCGTCGCGCTTTAGGCGGGGCTTATTGTGAGGCGGAATGTTTCAAAGGTGGGGCTATTTCGTGATTGGTGGGCTATTGTGGCGCGATTTTTTTTGGCTTATACGTGCGCGGCGTTTGGGTTGGCACCGTCTCATCGATCGTCGGCGCCAAGCTAACTATTATATGTTTTTTATGGATATTTTTGGCGGTGTTCTGTCCTTTTGTAACCTGTTATGGAAGCCACGCCTATCCGGCTTAGTACGTGCGGAGAGACGAGCAGAGGCTATCAATTCAGACTCAGGCCGTAGGCTTTAGATTTTTTTTTTGGTTGTTGTTATTGGTGTTTTTTTGATTTTGGAATTTTTCGTGACTGTGTGTCTTTGATTCTGTGCGGTGTCAGTTCTGAGTATTTTGTGACGTTGTGACGTCGTCAAGAAGGCCGTTGAACTTATGACCATTGTGTATGGGACTCTTTGTCGTTCGAACGATCGAATAAGAACGGAAATGAAGTGATCTATGTTTAAATACAACATACGTACTTTATGTTTGGAACTGTCATATGATTTCAAAATAGGAATATGGTCTATTTTTTTTCACGTCACTCATATTGCGTTCTCTGTGGTGCATGTCTTATCTATAATATAAAAATGAATTGCTGAATGTGTTGCTAAGCGCAAATTTCGAGAACAGCTGAACCGATTTCGATAATTCTTTTTTTAAATAATCCTTAAAGTACGAGGATGGTTCTTACGCAGAGAAATATTAAAAAAATTGCCTGAAGAAGTCCAAAAACAACACTTCTCTATACTCCCATACAAACGATTCGTAATAATATTTAAAAGTCAATTTAAACTTCAATACCATACCATAAATTTAAAATGTTAGTAGAGAGGTTCCGGGAAAGGCAAAACATTTGAGTGACGGGATGTCAATAGAAGTTTGGAAAAGGCAAATATACCATTTTCAGTTTTTTTTTTATATAATTATACGAAGAGACATTTTAGTATACACTACAGCTCTACACCAAAGCGAAGCGAGGGCGGGCCACTAGTTAGAAATATTTATGAATTACTACCTTTTCTGTCATATACTTTTTAAGGTACAGCTACAATGCTTCTTCTACACTCGCGCGACGAAGCTTTGGTAAAAAAATACCCTAAAAATTAGCGTTCTAAATTCGAATTAGTCAATCAATCAATCAATCAATCAAATCATTTATTCGTTGTCATCGGGTACAACAAGTTTTTATAATTTATATAAATGTGCCTCCATAACATGCTCAACAGCATACGAAAATTTGTTATCATTTTAAATTTAATAAAATCATAATCATCACAATAAAAGAATCAATACATTAATCTATACATCAATAAAAAAATCAAAAAATTAAATCGAAATGTCAGTATCCATTAAAAATTCATTTACATTATTATAACATTTATCCACTAAAAATTTCGTCAGTATTTTTTTAAATGTATTGGTATTATAATATTTAATGCTGTCAGGTAACTTATTATATAATTTAGGAGCCATTTCTACAACACTTTTCTTCATTAGCGCTGTTCTACACATATTTGTACAAACTTGAGGTTTCCGAGGGCGAAGGCCGAGCATATGAGTCTGTTCTCTTACTTTAAAAAGATCTGGATTACTTTTCACGAAAACGCAGCACTCAAATATATAGAGAGTTATATATTAGTTCCATCGTAGTACAATACTTCAACAGCACACACAAATTTATCGTCTCCCACAACCTCTGTTATGCGTGCTAAAAATCTCGAGACAAGCTATCGTCTAGCATCTAGACACTTACCTCATCATTCATTACGACATCACAGGAGACCGAAGAGCTAGCAGCTACCTCGGACAAAGAATTAGTCTAGCTATTCAAAGGCGGAACGCTGCCAGTATTTTCGGAACCTTGCCTAAAGGGACTCCTTTTAATAATATATTTTAGTTATTATATATTTTAAGGTTTTTAGTTATAAATATCTATTTCTAATTAGTTCCCAAATTCATTACGATAAAACACATTTAAATTATTGAACTCAATTTTTTGCGTATTTAGTACGAAAACTACCCAAAGCTTCGTCGCACATGTGTAAGAGAAGCATTAGGAATATTTATGGAGTAACAATAAGTTATTTGTCACTGTCCACATATGTAATGCCGCAATTACATTTGCTCGTTAGCCCGTATACGGGTGCATGAAAGACATTGCCCGATATATTCGGACACCCGATGCAATCATCACCAGCCTATTAATGTCCCCACTGCTGGGGCACAGGCCTTCCCTAAGGATGGAATAGGGAGATTGGGCCCTGACTCACCACGCTGGCCCAGTGCGGATTGGTGGGTGCTAACGACTGCGGATGCAGCCGGGACCAACGGCTTAACGTGTCTTCCGAAGCACGGAGGAGCTCAAAATAGTAAATATTTGGTCACCCATCCAATGACCCACCAATGCGAAAGTTGCTTAACTTCAACGATCGCAGCCGAAAGCGCTAACCACTTGCGCCATCGAGCTCCTGAATATGCAATATTTACACTGAAATACGAGCTGGAAGACGGTGGCGGGTAAACGAAAGGAAATCTACCCGAATATTCCGTTCATTTACACTAAGTCGTTTACCCGAATACCTACCATTAGCACTCACCATTAGCACACATTCGGGCTGACAACCAATCGAATTCGCTCCATAAGTAAGTAGTTGCATGCTTAAGCATATACTTATTAATGTATTGTAACATAGTAAAACTTATCTATACTTAGGTACAAATATTATAAATAGAAATATTTGATTGTTTGTTTGTGTTGAATAGGCTCCGAAACAACTGGACTGAATTTGAAAAATTCTTTCTCATCTGGAATCCTACATTATCCCTGATGAACATAGGCTATAGAATATTGTCAAAAAAGTTAGGGTTCCGTATGAAAACTTCGATAATGTAACCCAATGTGTGAAAAAATCCAAAATATTAAGTCATTTCGCGTACGCTGCGGAATCCATCAACATTAGAGCAAAGTGATGTACTAAAGTTTTATAGAGAACATCAATATCTACAAAAAAGTCCGCGACATGTAGTAATGTCTAATAACTGTATTAGTTATGGCACAACCAGACGTCCTGTGCAGTTACACCCGCGTCAAAAGGTTATAGAGAGTCAATCTTAAAAGATGGACATAATGTTGCCGCGGACTTTTTTTATAGAAGTTTTAAAGGAGAACAATTCCGCAATACATGATTTTTGTGTAACTTTAACCGTTTACCCAGCGCACGCTACAGAAGCCTACTCCCAATAATTTGCCCTCATGCATTTATACTAGACTTGCAACAAATATTCGGTTACTATTCGGTATTCGGCCTATTCGGCTGCTTTTATTATATTCGACCGAATACCGAATACCTACATATTATTCGGCCGAATACCGAATACTTAAATAATATATTTTGTCATAGAGAAATAATTGGTGAAATTAAAAATTAAAATCGATTGATTACGTGTATATTCATATTTTAATTTCTGTTATATATAATCATTTAAGTAGTCATTGGTACATAACACAGGTACATAATCATCTTCTGAATTGGAAAAATGGAGGATTCTATGTATTTGAATTATTGTGGTAATCAAAATTTAAAAGGGTAAGGTTCTCATTTCTTTTATAATCATTTATTAAGTAGTCATTGGTTCATAAAACAGGTACATAATTTAATCATTTTCTGTATTAAACAAGTTAATTTTTTTTCTGTGCATTTGAATTATTTTCATAATTAGAAGGGGAAGGTTATGGTGCAGAAAGACTAACTTTTCTGCATTTTTAGGAAGTAGTTTACTTCTTTTTTCTCGTAGACCATCCCAGCTTCAGAGAGGCGCGGTCCGAAGGGGGGGGGGGTCACAGGGGACATGACCCCCCCAAAATGTAAGGTCAAATTGAAAAATCTCAAAAAATTGCCAAATAATAAAAGGAAATTTCTAGCTATCCCATAACAGCGATAAATTTATAGTTTGCTGACATTTAGTGGTGTTTTTTGAACTACGTAACTACGATGGCCAAAATAACTTGGAAATGACATCTAGTACTACTATGTATTATATCATCAAAGTTTCTAATGATGATTTATACTCAAATATAAAGACATTTCTCAAAATCTGGCAACTGTTCCCATAAGTGGTACCTATTTTTTATTAGTGTAGTGAGTGACCCCCTCCAAAATTTTAGGCTGCGACCGCGCCTGGCTTCAGAGAAGACCATCCCAACTTCAGAGAAAAGGTGCCCTGAATAAACACTACTTCCTGGCGCCGACAAATATTTTGCTGCAATCTTAATCAAACACGGAAATTCAAATTTCCTTGCTGCCACCATGTATACGGGTTGTCATGACGTGATATCATATTACTAATATTTAAGAGAAGATCCATTTCTGTTG